AGTGTGATTGAGGAAAGTGGAAATAGGTCAGTTGGTCGTGATTCTATTTAAAAGCAAAAGGCTATGAACTAGTGAGAGGAGACACTGGCATGATGCTGGGTACTGTCTAATGTGGCTATGCATATGGGGAGAGGCCACCAGGACAAACCCTCTGGGAAGGGACAGGACCAGCTGTGAAGAGCATTCTGCAAAAGTAGGAGTAGGTGAAGAGGAAAGACAAGGTATTTGCTGCGAACTAGGAGTGCAAGAGGTGAGTGTAGCTGAACCCATACATTTGAGGGGAGGTCTGGGAGAAACAAGCTCACAGAGAGAGCAAAGGCCAATCAGGATGAGCTTTTAAGTCTGATGTATTTCAGAGGTTTTTGAATACAGAAGTAGCATGATCTGAGAGATGTTAAGGGCTCACTCTAATACTGACTGGTGGAAGACGGGCTGAGCCAAGGACCTCAGTTAATAAACCACTGCAGTCATCCAGGAAGATGGTGAAAAGTATATTCAAGGTAATGTGAAAGGAGAGGTAAGTGGATTGATGGTTGGGTTAGTTGTGAGAATGGAACAAAGAGAGAATTCAAAAGAGATACCCTGATAATTTGGCTCAAACAATTAGAAGGATAGAGTTTCCCTTTCTCAAGGTGAGGAAGACTAGAAGAGGAGCAGATCTGGTTGACTGGGAATTTAAAAACTTTAAATATGGACAATTCAAGATGACTATTGGCCATCCAATTGGAGATGCGTAAAAGTCATCACTGATGGCTATGTATCATATATACATATATGTGTGTGTGTATATACACACACACACAATTACATACATACAAATATATATATATATATATATTTATTTATTTATTACACACACAAATAACAAAGTGGGATGATATGCTTTACTTAATTTTCTAATGTCTTGAGAGGGTTTTTGGCCTAATCTTTTTTCTTAGTGCTGGTGATCAAACTTGGGACCTTGTGCTTGCAAGGCAGGCAGCAGCACCACTGAGCTAAACCCCCCGCCCTGACCTACACAGTCTTAAAGATTTTTGAGACCATTATTTTACAACTTCATAATATTCCTCTACTATATTTTAATGTTCATCTACTTTCATTCATTAGTTTCATCTTTATTTTATTATATAAATGCTTTAATAAAAATCTCTGACAGCCAGGTGTGCTAGTGCAGGCCTATGATCACAACACTCGGGAGGCTGAGGCAGGCAGATCTCTGCAAGTTTGAGACCAGCCTACGCTACATAGTGAGTTCCAGGGCAGTCTGAACTACATAGTGACACTCTGTCTTACAAAAAAAAAAAAAAAAAAAAAAACATCTCTGACAGTCTCAATAACTATCTCCTTAAGAGACACTTCCTGTCAAACTCGATACATACCGAGTTGCATGCCCAAAAGGCTACACCAATTTAAGATTTTACTCTTAGGTTTTGATAGTACCCATTTGTTTAGCTGTATTTCTACCAAAATATAGGGTTATCATTATCCATAGCTTTTTCTAATTTTACAGGTAAAAATGGTCTATCGTGATTTATTTCCACTCTCTCATTCTTAGTGAATTTAACATTTCCTTATAAAATATATAAATACCTTTTGAATTTTTCTTTTATAAATTGCAGACTCACATCCTTTGAATTGATCACTTTTGAAGTTAACATTTAATATTAAAATAATGCTGACTGTAATAATCGTTTTAGCTAACATGAATTGGACATGCTTAGCCACTGTGTGAAGCAACTGGCAAATGTTAATTTTGACAACCTTGTTACTGAAACTTACTTTACAGATGAGGAAATTTAGGATTAAAAGGTGAGATGACCTGGTAGTTATCCAACTAATTAAAGTTGAGCTGGGACCTGAATCCAGCCTGACTCCAAAGCCTACCAAAAGTAGTCATATTCAGTAACTGGAGAAGCAAACCCGTTCGGAGACCTCAGAAAAGTTTGAAAAGTAGAGTCTGAATTTACTCAGCTAAATATTTATTAGGACAAACACATCCAGTTCAGAACTATTATTTGAGCAATTCAGCTATTCTACTAATTGAAGAGCTCTGAGGGGTAAAGGTTCACAAAAGGTGCAGGGGAATTTTGAAGGACTGGCTGCTTGACAAGCTCATTTCTAGAAAGTCAACAAAATTTGTCACCTCAGATAAGGCTGATTTACTTTGAGGTGGAAATTCTATGAGTTTTGAGTTTACCTGAATTATTTATAAATTATAATTACTTTAAGAAGAAATGCTGGAAGGGAACTACGGAGCACCTAAAAAGATGCTTTTGATTCATTTATTTTCTTGATAGCAGATGCTTTCCAGTAATAGTACTCAAAATTAGACTTTCATGTTTTCGTAATGTCATGAAATATTTTTAGAAAGGGAGGCAAGGTGCCCTCCCTCCTTCCCTCTAACCAGCCCCGACCTTCTTGGTTGTTACCTTGGTTGGCACACTTTATTTTCTCAAGTCTGTGGAGTCTTGGCAGGACAGCTGCAGCTGTATTAAGATGACTCCTGCACTGGGGGATCACAGTTGCACCCTGGGTAAGTAGGTGTTGTGCCTGTGGCAGTGAACCAGGTGCAGCTCCTCAGAAGGAAGAGCAGACAGAAGAATTAAGTGAGGAACCCACAGGCTGCAGAATGTCTTTGTCAAAGCCTTGGGAAGAGTCTGTCTTCTCCAGGGCCTAAACAATGAGGAGCAGAAAAGACAAGCAGATCTCCTGATCATCTCAGAGGAGAGACAGACCAGAAAACTCCTCTGTGTACTTACACTGCTTATAAAATAAACAAATATGATAGTAACTGATTCTTGTATTGATCATCAAACTCTGAGGAGGCAAACAGATCGTCCTTGACAAAGTAACAGTGGCTAGGCCTGAAGCACCGCAGAGCCCTGATGAAAGACAGCCCCAAGGGCCACTCCGGTGTCACCAAGGGGGCCAGCTCAGGAAGATGGGCATGAATGTCCAGTACCTCAAGGCTGACAGGACTCAGGCCCCCTTTTAAACACCAAAAGACACCTGTTTTTAAAGCCAATTGTGTCCCAGTAAAGATGTTTCAAAGCTCTTCTATTCAATCACAGATTTGTGAGAATTAATGTAACAATAATTCTCCTAATTGGGCTAGGAGCATGGCACAGTGGCAGAGCAGATGCTTAGCATGCACAACGCATTGGGCTCAATCTCCAGCCCTGAAGATATTAAAGTAATAATAATAATTTACATAATAAAAATAACATTTAATAAACCTCACTATGTCCCAAGTATTGTCCTAAACATTCTCACAGGTGATCTCCTTTAATATTAATTACTTTGGGGGTAGATACTATTTTTATCTCCATTTCAC